AGAATAGGGGATTGATGAGAGAGGGACAAAAGCGCTGCCTGCTGTTGAGAGGGCCCATTGAGGCTGGATAACATGGATTTGTACCATGGAGGGTTGTGAATCTGTCCCCAGCGGAGTTCTCAGTAGCTTTTGATTGGTAAGAGGCTCATTTGATGGGTGCATTTCTTTGATCATTAGTGATTTGGAACACTTTTTATTCTGCTTGCTGATAACTCGCCTTTCTTCTTTTGAGAACTCCCTCTCCATAGCCTTTGATCATTCATCTATTGGGCAATGCCTCTTTCTTATATTTCTTTCCATTCCCTTTATTAGATGTTTATCATAGAAACATACTCTAAATTCTCAGTTCAATGTCTCCTGATTTTACTTGCATTGAATTGGTTCAAATTTGTATTTGATTCACACCACCTGTTTTTCCATCGCCATAATTCCTGACATATCCCTTTTCTCTCCACCCCTTCTAATGAAGAATTTAAAAGCAGAACAAAAGCAGTTAGGCAAAAAGGACACGATATTCGGCGCCAGCACCCAGACCTGCATGATTTTGCTCGTGCAAAAAAAGCTTTTGGAGTTTATGTCATTGAAATTGTCCCTTTTATCTTCTCTAATCATCAGGCGCTCCTTCCACTTCACTGTCTTGCCTCCCTTTGGTATGCTCCTTAACCATTCCTGAACCCCACGGCCCCACCCCCATGCCTGTTAGAAGCAAGCTGGCATGGACCGTAAAGGGAGGCAGGAAGTTTCTGGTCATCCAGCTCTATCCAGTGGCCTCAACTTCCCCAAGCTTTCAGGGCTCTTGAGTTCTTAAGGGTTCCTCCAAAATGCTTCAGTCATGTCCCCTGATGTTGCTACCCTCACTGAGGCCCTCATTGGTACCCACCTGGATTGGATCGGGAGCCCCCCACCCACCCTCAATTCCTGCACATTGTTCTTATGCTGGTCTTTCACCAAAATCTGGAAATGGCGCTCCTTAAAAATCTTTATTGGAGCGCAGTCGCCTAAGACATCCAAGCATGCGCTCTTTGTCCGTGGTATTCAGGGTTAATCGAGTTAGCACCTTCGCTCTCCAGCTTTATTTCAGATTACATATTCTCTTTCATAACCAAACTGGAATAACGTCTCTCTGTAACAGAAAAAATAATACAAACAATATAATCCAGGGGGAAATTCTCCCTATAATCGTTTCTCTCTGCCCTGTCTTGGCTTGGGCTACTGCTTGGGACAGAAATATTCTTACTTCCTCTTTTTGTCATTTGACTTCCTATCCATCTTTTTGAGCACGGTGCCAATGCCGCCTCTTTCAGAAAGCCTTCCCTGGTCTCTGTCTTTCCCTAGTTTCACTAGGGGCTTCCTTGTCACCACCAGCCCCATCCCTGAACCAGTTTTAAACCAGCATGAGGTACTGAGGAAAGGTCACCATATTGCTGCTAATTGGTGTGAAAATACCAGTGAGTCACTATTTTCTACAAATGGGAATGAAAATCCCAAATATTTTTTTTGGGTGGGGTGTCATCTGGCAATTCCCAGGACTTCCTTTCTCCTATTTCAGATAGGAAATGGGGGAGGGGTGAGGTAGCTAAATAAAGTATTGGCGGACTTTGGGCCCCACATCTTGAGCTGAAGATGATGGCCTGTTAGCGCCAGTCCCACTCAGGGCAGAATGAAAGTGTAATGCTTTGCGAACCTTTGTTACAAGAGCTGGAACAATTTCACACCAATAATTAGATTTCACTCAGGCTGAAAGATGGAGATGAGATTAAGGAGACCGAGCTTGGCTAGTGACTTACCCAGCAGATTGATTATTTGTTCGTTATGGCAGATTGAGAGCCCTCTTTGCCAGGATGTGTGGGCCCTAAAACTTGAATTGCAGCCTTGACTGATTTCTGATCCACCTTTTTTTTATTTGTTTGTTTAAATTTTTTTTTCAATTACCAGGTGTTTATTTTTTATTCTACCCACTTTCTCCCACTCACTGGAGAAAATAGGGAGAGTGAACAAAAAAAAAGGAGGGAGGGAGGGCAGGGAAGAAGAAAGGAAAGAAGCATGATGTGTCATAGAGTTATAGGCAAGCCAAACAAACTGCCAGGTTGGCCTTGTACACCAGCGTGGGTCTCATTCTGCATTAGGCCACCGTCTCTCTGTCCCGTGGCAGGCAATGTTCTTCCTCCTCTCTTTGCTGGAAGGAATCAGGGTGGTGTGTCTGGATCTTGGATAGTTTAATCTTAGCTTTTAATAAGTCATGACCGTGATGGGCAACGCAACACAATGTGGTTTCTCTTCATCCAGGTAGCATAATAGATCTGTGCCAGATGGAAGAGGTAGCTTGGGAGGTTCCCTGAGCAGGCTGGCAAGGGCGCTGACTTTGTCTGACAAAGTGGCTGATCCTTGGGGGAGGGCCACTTTGTGTATCCATGGTAATGCCTTATGTTTGTAGCTGATCCCCTCTGATCTTCGAAACAACACCTGCCCAGGAACCCACCTGCCTGTATGTTTGTCTTGGAGTGTTTGGACAGGTGCCCTTTACTTGTTTTTAGTGTTTTTTCAGAGAATTATGCAAGATCCATGGTATGGACATAGTGATGGTCGGTGGTGGGGGTAGGGGTGGCCCATTCTCATCCTCATTGTTGGAAGATGGGTCACAGTTTACCCCTGGTGTAAGAAGGGGCTCTGTGGAGGGCAAGGTTTGGAGGTGGAGACCAAGGATCCCACCTTTCTTACTTATCTGTGCTCCTGGGCTCCCTCTGCTTGGAGCTATGGGATGACCCCTTATTAAATTCACAGAATTAAAAAGAAACTATTTATTAGAATTATTTTTTTTCCATTAACAAAAGTCTATTGTTTCTTCCTCCCACTTATCCCTCCTCCCCAACCACCACTGGAAAACAAAACAAAAAAAGAAAGAAACCCTTGTAACAAATAGGCAGAGTCAAGCAACACCAGTCTCTCCAGTTGCCCCGACCCCATCCCCTCCCTGTTTGGAGGTGGGTAGCTCACTTCATCCTGGGTCCTGTGGAATTCTGGTTCCCAAACCCCATGCAGCTCGTTCGCCCATAATCAACGAGTGAACAGCATACGAGAGGTGGGTGGACAAATATTGAACTGGAATATTGAGGCCCAAGAAAGAAGCAGCTTTATTTTGCCGGTTTTTTCTTACACTGTTGTTGACTTCCCAAGTCCAAGGCAGGGCAGTTAGCAGCTTGACATCCGAGGCCTGTGAATTAGCAGTGTTTTCAGTGTAGAAGATTTGGGGGTATCTGATAAAGCAGACTTCAGTTAATGGTTCCCCACCCCCTTCCTTACTCTGCTGCACCGAGAAAGGTCAGCGGGTGATCAGAGGAAGAAGTGGTCTCGTGGGACGAAGGTGAAAAGAATCTGGAAGTTGGGGATGGGGAGGGGCTGCGTTCCAGGCCGTGCATGGCCCTAGATGCAACCGAAGCCTGGAATGTATGGCTGGTATTCAGAGAAAGGGGAGGAGGAGATGGTTGTCAGCCTTCTGGGACATGTCAGAACTTCAAGGCCAAGCTGGGATGTTTGAATTTGATCCAATCGGCAATAAGGAATCCAGTGAAGGGCACACGCAATGTGATTTGAGTTATTGCTCAGGGCTTGGAGGGGGTAAGGGGGCAAAATAATCAAAGGAGTGAGATTTTAGAGGAAGATTCAGTGAATGTTGCACACATGTCCATATACCTGTATACCTGTATGCCTGTATGCCTGTATAGCTGTATACTTATATACCCATCTACCCGTATACACATATCCCCATATACCTGTATACCTATCTACCTGTACACCCATATACCTGTATACCCGTATAGCTGTATGCCTGTATACCTGTATACTCATATACCTGTATACCTATCTACCTATATTTTGAAAGAAAATTAAATGAAGAGCTTATAGGAGGAATGTCCCCAGGGCCTTGAACTTTAAAGGGGGAAAAAGCCCCATCAAGCACTTTATTTTCAAGTGCCCTACTGATGTGGAGGCCCAGGGCTTCCCGCCTCCAGGTGGTGTGTGATGGAGGCCAAGCCGGACTTGCCCAGTGAGAGATGGCTTCATTCAGGCCCTGAGCGGTCCATTCATCTGACACCATTGAAGTGATAGCCTGGCCTCGGTTACCTCCGCTCCCAGGGCTTAGCACACAGCTCCTGGACCTCTGCCAGATGGTGTGGGCAGTCACCAGTTACCAAAGCAATGCGCATTTCTTGGTTTTTGGTTACAAGTGATGAGCCCATTAGAAAGCTTTCATCCTTACAGTGCCCTCCAATCCCAGAATCCACCGAGAAACATGCAAAGAGAAAAGTGCTCTTTGACTTGAAAATCTAACAATGGCTCAAAAGTGTGTGCTGAGAGACATTCACCAGAGTTTTGTTTTTCCAAAAGATTTACAACAGCCATGCCTTGGTGGATGAATTTGATCCCCAGTGTCCTCTGAAAAAGATACTTCCAAATTCCAACCTATCCTTCTAACTTTCTGAACGTGACTGCAAGGTAGCTTGAAAAAGCCAGGACTGGGTGCTTTATTGCTTGGGTTCCTGGCCAGGGTCTGCCATGCAGTAACCACGCGGCCTTGACAGGAATGATCACAATAGCTAGGAGGTAGGTAGCACTTCAAGGTTTGCAAAGCACTTAACAAATATTGTCTCATGTGATCATCCTAACAATCTTGGCGGTGAGTACTCTTATTAGCTTCATTTTACAGATGAGGACATTGAAACTAACAGAGGTTAGTGACTTGTCCAGGGTGACACAGCTGGAAAGTGTCTGAGGCCAGATTTGAGCTGGGTCTTCCAGATTTTCACGGCCTCTGCTCTAACCATTGTGCTACCTAGCTCACTGTGGCTGCCTTGGGCATCCACAACCCTATGGCTGTGTCTTCTAGGAGCAATGCCATTTCTGCTTTGTGCTCCCTGTGAGGCCAACTTGATCTGAAGTCTGTGTGTGGTGTGGTTGTCTTGGGCGTCCAAAGCCTCATCTTTATGTTCTCGCCTCTCTAGGCCTTGTTGAAGATGGACTGTCAGGGCCTTGTGGTCAGGCTCATCCAGGACTTTGTGCTCCTGACCACGGCCGTTGAGGTGGCCCAGAGATGGAGGGAGCTGGCCGAGAAGCTCGCCAGAGTATCCAAGCAACAGATGGATGCTTATGAGTCTCCACACCGGGACAGGAATGGGGTGGTCGACAGTGAGGTGAGGAGGGGCTCTGTCGTTGACACAGGCTCAGCGGCGTCAGGTGGCACGGGTGGGAAATGCTCCTGTGGATGACCGCTGTTTAGGGCTCTGGGTAGGAAGGATTCCTATGTTCAAGTTGCCCCAGTGGAGGAGAACGGTTTTCTCTTCTTTTTTTTTTTTTCTTTTTTAAGGCAATTGGGGTTAAGTGACTTGCGCAGGGTCACACAGCTAGTGAGTGTTATGTGTCTGAGGCTGGATTTGAACTCAAGTCCTCTGTGCTCTATCCACTGCACCACCTAGCTGCCCCAGGGCTTTACTTTTTTAAGATAGATTTAAGTCCCATGCTTGAGCCTTACTGTAGAAATATAGCACTGAAATAACTGAGACTTACAGATTCCCAATAGAGATCGCTTATGTTGGATTGCAGCAGTGAGAAGGTCTCTTTTCCTAGATCCATCTGATTTTCTTGTATGTGGGCTTGCCCATAAATTTTAAAGGCGGTCAGCCCAGGATTAGTGTAGCTAAGAGAGGACTTGAAACAGAGGACCCGGGTTCAGGACCCACACTCACCTTCAAGTGACGATGGGCAAATCCCCACCACTTGGTTTGTCGAAACAGATTATTCTATAAAGTGACGACGGGCAGTAGCTGTTTCAAGTGACTTCAGTCAGACCTCTACTCAGAAGATTCCATCTGCTACTGTCTGCTGTTCACCTCTCAACTACTTCATCCCTGAAATGGAAACCTTTTGTAAACTTGTCTTTGTTAAAAATAGACATGAAACAATAGTTCTCGCACCTCCTAACTTTGTCCCTCTCACCCTTTGTCTTGGACTGACATTCTAGGCCATGTGGAAGCCTGCGTATGACTTCTTACTGACATGGAGCAGTCAGATTGGAGACAGCTACCGGGACGTCATCCAAGAGCTTCATCTGGGCTTGGACAAGATGAAGAACCCCATTACTAAGCGTTGGAAACATCTCACGGGGACCCTGATCCTGGTGAACTCCCTGGATATACTGAGGGCAGCTGCCTTCAGCCCCATGGACCATGAAGACTTTGCCATCTGACACGTGGGCTTTCCAAATCTCTCCGGCTGCTTTCTCATTATGATGAATGGCCTTCAGCCCAGGGTGGAACCGAAGATAAGAGCAGGCCAAGTCATTACAGACCAGAATGCTCTGCTCCAGACCGGTACCGTGGCCAAGGACTAAGCATCTCCAAATTCTTCTCTTTACCATCCATCCCCTCCCCTTTCCTTGCTATTTTCCCAACCCAGGAACATCCTGAAGAGATTTTCTATTGTATATTGTTGCCAATCAAACAGACTTTCTACTTGTAAAGTATAAAATGAAAAATCGTGTTTTTATAGATATTTGGAGAAAACATACAGAATATCTAATTTTTTAATAGAAAAAAAGGAAAAAAAAATAAAACCACTGATGAGGTGGGGAAGATACAGACTTTTTTCAGATGTATAAAGACTTTTTTTTTTAATTATGGTATACGTTGTTTTCCTTTGATCCTGTAAATATATGTATATATATATATTTAAAAAGAGTACAGCAGCCCACTCTCTCCTTTTGACCCCTCCACCCAGTTTTGCATTTCAGCTCTGTGAGGCTGACAGCGTGATTAGACTGATGGAGTGGATTCCACCTTCTAAGGTCCTGAGAGAGGGAAGTAATGGCATCTGAAAAGTCTTTACCCAAAAGACTGGTTTACACTCATTTGAGAGTGCCCCAGGCCCTGTTCTTTGGGGTTTTGTATCATTGGAGTTTTGTTCGTTTTGGGATTTCTTGCAGTGCAAATCAACCAGTGTAAATGTGAGCGTTAGCTGGAAGAGTTGCAGCTGACTTTATGATCGTGCATAGTTCTAACAAAGGTGCTGTTACTAGCCATCAAGATGCGACTGGGGAAAGAAAGGTCCAACTCTTACTCAGGCGAGAGGTTGTCTGACCTAACTCGGATCTCCTGTCCTAGACTTCATGTAGCTGGCAACTCAAAAGACAGACCCCGTTTGTGGTTTACAGTCATGGATTACCCAGCAGTGAGAAGCCACTGGAATCTTTGTCCCCTAGACTAGACAGGCAAACCGGCCTTAAAAAGCTCGTCACGTGATCCATGGACATGATTGGGGGGAAACATCCCTCCAGACTCTGGCTTGTTTCTGGATGCAGCATCTGGCAACCTCTTCCTCACCGCTAATGTCAGTATACTCGCAGGCAGACAAGTCAGTAGGACCTTTGGATGGTAATTCCTCAGGTGATTTGGGAGCTCCGTTTGCCAAAGTATTGACATATAACTTTGCTCCCCTGGGAATCCCTTCGGTTCTCTTCTCTGTTCTCCCTGTGAGTCCTTGGAAGTAGTGGGTGTGAAAAGTATTTTAGCACAATGAGAAGATGTAATTTTGAGTGAGAAATACATATTTTTTTTTCCATATAGGGAAAATGGTACCCCACACAGTAAAAATCAAGTCCTTTGTTGAAGCTAAAGTTTAAAACCACAACAAAGGAATCCCTTTGTGAATTGTGAAGCAAACTGGGGTAAGTGTGTGTGCAGCTTGGTGGCTGGTCTCTGTGTTATGGTGACTAGTGTCTAGCTGGGTCTAGGAAGGGAGAGGATGGCCAGGATTGACCCGGTGGGGGCTGAGGAGTCCGTTTCACATTCGAGGAGAGCGATCCCCCTCATGACAAAGGACACGGAAAGCTTTGCCCCCTGACCACCCACCCTCCCACTTAACTAACGTCTGCCTCGACGGTGTTGGTTTGTCTTTCTGCTGGGCCCCAGTGGGAATCCAGAACAGGTGGTATCCCAGTTGAGGAAAGTCTGCCCAAACTAGTGCCAGGAGTGGTTTTCCGCCGCCTTAGGGCGAGCAGATGTTTCCAAACAATGGAATTGGCTTCCCCAATCAGAATGAGAGAGATGTCTCTGATCCTTCCTGAGCATTCCCAGAAGAGCCTCCCTCCCACCCTTTACCCTCCCCCCCACCCCGGGGGATCCTGGGCTTCATCTCCAGTCTTCTCCCCAAAGAGAAACAAATGGCCATTTGCACCTTAAACTCACATCTTTTCCTCAGGGGCTTCGAGTAGTTTCCTATGCAACTCACCTTGTAGCACAACCAAAATTCACCAAGTTGCAGAAGCTTTTCTTTGAATGTTATAACCTGTTGAGCGTTGTTTTTTTTTTTTTCTGCACCAAACCAAAATCTAAATAAAATTCAAACGAATCGGTTGTGGCTTCATGTCTGAATGTGGGGAGGGGGAGGTGCCGTCAGGGCTGGGGAGAGGGAAGGGCCACTCCAAGAAGCCATTTCTCCAGCTTCCCTTGAGATCGATGTGACAACGTCACCCATCCTTCGTGCGGCACCAGTGGACTCTGGAAGGGAGGCAGTGGAGTGAAGTGGAAAGGGTGCTGGATTTGGAGTGGGTGACTTGGGGGCATGAGTCCTCGCTGTGCCACTCATTGCCAGCGTGGTCTTCGGCAAGTGGCATCTCTAAGCCTCAATTTCCCCTTCTTTGAAATGAGGGGATTGAATTAGATGGCCACTGAGGTCCTTTCCAGCTTGAAGGCTGTCTTGGGTGAACTTGGGCAAGTTATTTTTTGTCCAAAGACTCAGTTTCCTCCTCTGTCAAATGAGGGGATTGGGCTAGAGGTCCTCAAGGTCCTTTCCATCTTCAGATTTTTTATCCTGTATATGATCCCTATCAAACCACATCATACCTCTGGACCTCAGTTTCCTCATCTGTAAAATTAGGCTGGACTTGGCTCTTGGGGTCCAGCTCTATGTCCATGGGCTTGAAGATCTTGTCTACTTTGTATCCTCCATTGTGTCCCAACCTTGATCCTATGGTGACCATGCCATTGTGTCTGTGATTCAATCGTGGGGTCAGAAACCCCCAACCAAGGATTTTCTTATCGAATGGTTCTCTTGTGAAGGTGCAAATGAGAACGCTTGTAAAGGCCTCGGGGTACTTCAGAGTGATACACCCACACACACACATACACACAAATCACACATGTAACATACACACATTCTACATAACCTAAAAAAGAAACCCCATTGTAGAGTTTGATGCCAACAGGTGCAGGGCATGTCTCTGGTTAGCTCTGACTCTTCTAGGTCTGTAACTGAAAAGGACCATCTCCTTCAACCCTCTCATTTTACAGAGGGAGAAACTGAGGCCCAGGGTGTCACATGACTAGGAAGAAGCAAATCTCAAATTCTTCTCAGGTATTCCGCCTCCCCCCTGCAGCCGATGAATGGAAGCATCCTATCTATTTTCAAGTCCACAATGTTCTCCATTGGGTAAGCCACTTACCTGGAGAAGAAAAGATGAAAAGGGTGTGTCCTAGCTACCTCCAGTGCACTGGGTACAAATGAGCCAGAGAGTTCCTCAATTTTCACATTTTTGTTTGCCTGTTTGGAGAGTGGTTTACTGACTCTGGCATCCGAGTTGAATTCCCATATGACCAGGGTAAGCTGGGCTCAGTCCCTTCACTGCTCCGGGTCCTTTTCCTCCCCTTTTAATAAGGAGGTTCGGCTGGGTGGCCCCTAAAGTCCCTTCCACCTCTAGATCTATGGGCCTATGAAATAATAACAATAACATTAATTATTAATAATTAAATTACACGATTAATTGAGAATAATAATATCAATTAATACTAATAATAATGGCTGGCATTTCTATAGCACTTTAAAGGTAGCAAAGTACCAGGCAGCTGTTTACTCATTTGATACTGTGAGGAAGATTGAGAACACGTAATACTGCCTGACCCAAAGAGCAGCCATGAAAGGTCTCAAGTGGTGGCTTGGAAAGAGCCAAGTCAAAGCTCGGCACCAGGAGACAATTTGCAAACAATCAGCACTGGACAAAAGCGGTTTGGACTGCTTCGAGAAGCGACGGCTTCCCTCTCCTTCGAGGGTCTTCAAGCAGAGACCAAATTCTAGGAAGTATATCGGCACAGCAGAGATTCTTAGTTTTGGGTTGGCCAATGCCCTGTCAGACTCTTACAATTCTGTGGTTTCTGCTTCAGTACCCCCTCAGCAACTTCTGGGAGAAGAGAGGATGCTTAGCAGACTCTGGAGTACTCTGCCATGGGAGGAGGTGAGGCAAGAGATGGCGAATGACCTTGTCAACCCAGCATTGCTGTGACGTGTTTGGACCCTGGGGCTCAAGCTGAAAAGAAGTATTTATCCAGGAGTCCCTCCAAGGCTTCTTTACCTTCCAGGAAGGGTATGGGTCTAATGGGCTGTTTGTTTGAAAGCTTTGTGTGTCTATATTGGTGTATGGCCTCTTGTGAGCTCTTTGAGTCTGAAGCCTTATCTGTGGTGCCCATATTGTGTATTGAAGGCCTGTGTGGGATGTGGGCACCCACTCAGCTATGTTTGGGGAAACCTGAAATGAGCCACAATGCAGCTTTCTTTAAGCGGTTTTCCTGGAGAGCTCCGGCTGGAGACAGAATACAAAGAGATGAACTGTTGACCCCTTTGAGGTTAGCCCCCGAGTCAATTTAAGAGGGAGCAGCTATATGGAGAAGGAGGCCTCTGAGCTGGGCTTGGAAGAAAGTTAGGGATGATAGAGGATGGGTGAGGACCCTCACTTGACAGGGCATCCCCTTATTTTCCTTTGACCATTGGTGTTCATTTGTCCGACTCTTCATGACCCTATTTGGGGTTTTCTTGGCAAAGATACTGAAGTGGTTTGCCGTTTCCCTTTCCAGCCCATTTTACAGATGAGGAAACTGAGGCAAATAAGGTTAAGTGACTTGCCCAGGGTCACATAGCCAATAAGTTTCTGAGGCCAGATTTGAACTCAGGTCTTCTTGACTCCAGGCCCAGCACTCTGAACTATGGCAGCCTTGCCAGACCATATCTACCTTGGGTCAGAGGGCTGGAGTCTAGATTATTTCTCCCAGGTGGAATAGGGAGACCTTATGCCCAACTAACTCTTCCTGCCTCATACTACCATTAGTTTTGGAGAATTCTATAATTTACCTTCTCACCTTTTCATCCTTTTGTGATTCTCTGTAGCGATTCACTATCCAGACCCTTCCATGCCATTGGAGTGGCAGCTCTATTCCCTAACACAACTGATCACTAGCACTCGCACTGGCTGAGCACTTTAAGGTTTATAACCCATTGAGGTTGGCAGTGCCAATGGTTATTACTTCCATTTTACAGATGAATAAAACGAAGGTCCAAAGATCACCCAGTTAGGAAATAGCAGAATTTGAACCCAGGTCTCTCCTGACTCCAAGTCCATCAGTCATTGCAACGCACTGCAACTCTTTGAAAGTTATGGTGAACAAAACAAAACCCGTCACTTAGTAACCCATCTGGCAATGAACTTCTCTACTCTTGGTCTGTCATCATATCCTGCTCTTCTGGGATCTGCTTCTTCAGATTATTTCCAGGTTAGAAGCTACATCTCTGTCCTCCACATCCCCCACACACTCCCATGATCCCCCTCTTGGACACCCATCCAAGTGATCCTCCAACGATTGTGCTTTCTCCTCCTCCACCCTCCGTGAGACTCCAGATGACTTTGAGTCCTGTAGAGTCATCAAATCTCCCAGATTGGGAGAATGACTAAACGAATGGTGATACATCAATGGAATGGGATGATGTTACACTATGTGAAATGGTAAATATGGTGAAGAGACAGAAGCATGGGAATGTTAGGAGCCGATGCAGAATAAAGTCAATGGAACCAGGAAGAAATGATGACACAAGATGGCTGCACCAAAGTCACTGCAACAAAGTAAATGAAAAGGGGGTAAATCCAAATGCCAGGCGTCCTAATAACCAAGCTTGGCCCAGAAGAAGAGCCATGAGGATCCACATCTGACCTCCTTTACGGAGGTGGGGGACCATGGACAGGGAACCCTGCATTTACTGTAAGACTTGTTGAGGTGTTCGTGATTTGTGGGGACCTGTTTTCTCCTTTTTTTATTCTTTGTTGGAAGGGGTAGCTTGTTGGGCGGCAGGGGAGGGGGAAGCTGTATTGGAAAATGAGAGTGATACTAAAGCAAGAGACCCCAACAAACAGAAAAAGTGCTAAAATCTCAGATCGGGAGTTGGTTAGAGGCTATTTAGCCTCTCTTCTCATCTTATACTTGAGGAAACTGAGACCCAACAAAATGAAATGATTTGCTCAAAGTTACCCAGTGGCAGAGCTGGGTTTCACACCCCAGTATTGACCATCAATCCACATTCTTTCTCGCTGCAAAATTCAGCCTCTTCCTCCCTCCCTTACCTTGACCCTGCATTGGAGATGGGGAGACATCTTTGCTATCTGGCCTCCAAAGACCTCTGAAACTCCCTTGCTGTCTTCAAGACTCATCAGTTCAAGTGTCCAGCTTCAAAGCTGTGGTCTGTGACCTCTCTGGGCCTCAGTTTCTTCCTCTGTAAAATGAGGAGGTTGAACTACATGGCCTCTTAAGGGCCCACCCAGATCCAGAGCTGTGATCCTGGGATGAGTACGGCCAAGAGACTGCATAGACCCATTTCCCTGGCCTTCTTGTCACCTGGGCTGGGGATGGGGTGCAGTGAGGATAAGGGACACTGCCCTGGGCTGCAGATGAGGAATCCAGATGGAGCCATTGCAGTTGTTTACCAGTTGTTGGGGGCTTTTCCTAGTCCGATTCCTAATCCTGAGAATGGATTACCCTTGGACCAAATTTTCCTTTTAAACTCCAATTTATTTTTTCCCAGTTTAAAAAAAAAAATCTCATCTGTCTTCCTAATAAAATGGAAAAGTCAGGCTTCAATTCTGGGGGATATTTACATAACATCTACCAGGCAACTGATTGACTGCGCAAGCTGTTTGCAGATAAGGATGTGCCTTTTGAGATGCGTTGCATTGTCAGGCTCTTCAGAGAGCTGGCAGCTCCTCAGTATTTTTAATGCTTTGCTTCTCCACTGAGATGCACAAATCCTGCCGTCTAGCCAGCAAAATGGGCAAGGGGAGGCCAAACATTTTACCAGAAACTCTTGTATGTCCGTCTTGCTTTTTAGGTCCATTGAGGTGCGATTTCTTCATTCTGCCTTTGAATTGGCTCACCCCCTTTTCCGTATGGACCTTGCCAGTGTCTATCTACTGGCAGATTCGTGAATGTTCCACCAAGGAATACTCCTGGGGGGCATTGATGTTGGATGGATGTAATTGAGTTGGCCTCAAGGAACCT